GATGAAAATGAAGAAGATAAAGATTCAGAGAAAAAAACCAAAAGATCCTAGAAGATACTTCGACCGAAAACGAAGGTAAGACTTTTCTGACTCTAGGCAACCCAGTTCCCCAATGTATTGTTAGTAAGTTATATTTACATGTTTGTCTGACTAACACACCAAGAATAAGATGATGCACAAATACATAACTTGATCAAGAGGTGAGGCGCGCACCCCCATATTTCCCTACAGGCAAACGTGCTTTTAACTGGTTTTCTCTCATTATACACTCTATTCTTTGTTTCCGTAGCAGAGCAGCTCCGATATTCCGCAGTGAACAAATGTCGGCTAGTTAAGCAGACAACGCCCATTAATTTCCGTATAGAAGTACTCTTTTTCCGGCTGTCAGAACAGCAGCAGCTGTGTTACTACCATTAGCCGGTAATAGGTACAACCAGACTAGGTTTGTTGACTGCTTCGAGACTCGCGATAGACGTTAATCATGATTACAGACAGAGTACGAGCAAGATCCATCGGATTTAGCTGTTTAATATTTCTTCACTCTGACCACATTGAGATGCTCTAGAGGACCATAAGATAATAGATTGTAGAAAACGAAGAATCGCCAGTGAATGAAAGGACAAAGGGACAAGGGCATTCTCTCTGCATCACATAAGCATAAGTGTGTGACTGTTGAAATGTCACCGTTACAAGGTCATGACTGACCGCCATATGTGCCATGCTTCCTTCACGGAGCTTACAGTATGGCGCCATGTCCGTCGATGTCATCAGTATCAGCCAGCCGTGTTTCTGCAAGGCTATATCCGCAGTCTGTTGACCAATAGAGTACGTAGCTCCTGCTTCCTTCCCCTGAAATGATAATCATTTATCAACCACGAAAGAATGAAAGGCGAATGACCCTGATCTTGACCTTTTATCTATGAGTCGAACGATCTACGGACCACACAACCCCAGACCGTATTAATCTTTAAATAAAACATCGCAAAGTCTTTCTAGTATGCCGTCTACCCTCTAAATTGATCTACGGTCTATACTGTCTATCCTCTATACTGATCTATTGATCTACGACCTACGGACCTTGCAACCCCACGCCGTATTAATCGTCAAATAAAACATCGCAAAACCTTTCTAGTATGCTGTCTGTCCTCTATACGGAAGGTGATCACTCTATCTGGA